CGTGGCTGCTTGCGGTCAGGGCGTGGCGGCGCGGCCGTCGTCTGGGACACGCGGCGCGCAAACTCTGTTCGTCGGCCATCAAGAACAGGCGTTTGATTCGTCGATCGTTCGATGGTCGCCGACAACAAGCGTTTTCTCGTTGATTTACCGGCTAAACGGTGGCTCCTTCGTGCAAACTTATTGAATAGAAGTTGTAGAACCATGTACCATCTCCAACTCTTGTTAAGGCAGCATACTCTAATTCGCAACCTAAACCGAGTAAAATCATGCTCAAAGTAGGCTTGTCGGTGTTGGGGTTTCACGACTTAGCAAATTTCGTTAAGTGTTGAAATCGAGATTTTGATGATTCTTGTGATCCAATTTCAAACATGTTAGGAGCTGAATCATGTGATGACCCAAAAATAAAAGTTGTTCCTTATGTCAAACACTACAACATTGCTTTAGTGAACTCCTCCATGCAAGGTCTCTAACACCTAGTTCAACTTTAGTCAAACATGTCACTTTGAAATCATGATACATACACAAACCAGGGCTAAATGACCAAACTAGCCTTAGCACTAAATACCAAAGTTGTTCCTAATGATATCCTAAGCATGTTTAAACAATTTGCAAGGTCATTTAAGCATTTCATGTAGTAGTCACTCATATAGCTATTCAGGTCAACACATGAAATATCACTTAAGTGCTTGATCATGAAATGTGGCCTTCATGAACAATGTTTCTTTTGTTAACCTAAGTGTAGCTAAAGTGTTATAGTGACCAACATTACACACTAGCATTTATTTGCACATGATCATATGCATATGTTCCAAGAAATACGAGATAACAAGCAATGTTTCATATGTTTCGATCGAATGTTTCAATTGTAAATGATGATTTATGAATGCTTGATGCTCATGCTTATGTTATGCAAGTCAAGTTATGCAAGGCTAACACCCGAGGTGTTACAGTAACGACGTGGAGGATGAGACTTCTAAGAGCATCTCCAGCAGTCATGTCGGGTTCATAAACCCGGGATCCCCAATGGACCCGCTTTCCTACAAAAACTCAGCTCAACAGATGGCGTAGCGACAACGCGCGTCTCTCGGACCGACCCAGATACATAATGACGGGCCGGGAGAATGATCCGGTCCCCGATCGGAAGGCCTGGCCAAGGTGGGGACACAGTCCGACTCTAACCTCTTTTTTTTGACCGGGGATACGCCGGACCTCTGCTCGTGGCTCTTCCCCGACCGACACAGTCAGGGCCGACTAGGAACGGCCGACTAGGGGCGCCTGCTCGGTGAGGGCTTGGGGATCAGGCGGAGCAGATAAGGTAAGGCGCTCAAGTTAAACCGTAATACCGAGGACCGTACCCTGCCATACCCTGCGCACCTGCAAGACGGTGCTACCAGGCCATGCCAGATGGCATTATGCAACCTTCTAGGCGTGTCAGAACACAAATAGTATTGTAGGCGCCGACGTTTGCCATACCAGGCGAACACGGTAGAGCCTGCCACATACATCTGGACATAAACAGTATTGTGGCGCCGACGACCGTCTCATACCCGAGAGCGTGGGCAACAAGAATAGGTAGCACACGTATACATTCTCTCTTTCTCTGACTTGTAAGACCATCCCCTTCGACTATAAAAAGGGGATAAGCTCTCTCTAAAAAACTCTCTGGCTCTCTAAAAAAAAAGTTAGACGATTCGAGCACTCGAGGACCTGAGAACTCGAATAGCTCAATAGCTCTAGAACTCTAAAGCTACACAGAGCATACGCTCCAATACTTAGCGCATGTTAGAGCCCCCGTCACCCTCGGCCCTTCGGTTCAGAGTCCGACCGGGCCTTTAACACCCACCTTCTTATTCCTACTCGTTTGTAACCCCGAAGCAAACTTCGAGCACCTGGGCTCAGGAATGAAGTCACCGACCGACTGAAACTGGACGTAGAGCACGTTGTCTGAACCAGTATAAATCATGTGTCATTGAGTGTTAGGCCACATCCGATCACAACGCACGGTAAAACTATAATTATTTACTTATTGGTCACTTTTCGCACCGACAAGTCCCCTTTGCTAACCCTCAATGAGAAAAAATAGTATTTTGGAGATCTTGTAGCTCAAGTAGTTCCCCAACCTAAAGAGAAAATTTTCTCAGCTCGTTAAATCATAGCCTTCCACCCCGCAAATGAAGGAGATATCTTTCCCTTCCGATCCACTATTTTTCTTATCGTGGATTAGATTTTCTCGTTCTGCTGGAGAGAAGACCTTTAAAATTCCAAAACACGTTTTGTATCTCCCTCAATAACTAGTTTTTAGAGTTGGAGTTTTCTCGTTCCGCTGGAGATACTCTAACCACACTGTCGCGTTAGGAAAGCCCTTAAACAGGACTTGTTTGGAATCTGACGAATTGTTCCTTCGTTTTTTTTTAAAATAAACTATTTTTCTATAAAATTTTAAAATTTATACGTTCCAAACATGTCCCATGAATATCTAGACGTTCTTTTTCCTGCAACGAGGATTTCCGCATCTCACAGAAACTAGTATTCTACGAATCTACGTAAAGAAAGAACCATGCGAAAGCATAAAAACCAGGCGCAACAAAAGACCGGGGCAAAAGGGAACACACCAGCAGACAAGGATCAGGAAAATGGAGACCGCAGGCACAAAGAAACGGGAACGCATCGCCGTGCTCCCCTGTCCCTCCTATCCGTTGCCCAGCCCCCGTCCGTTTCCCACGATTTCCGCGTCCCACCCATCCCCTCCACGCTTTCTTTACAAAGGCTTTTTATCTAGGTGCTATTAAAAAAATTTATAATTACACATAAACTTTTAAAAAGTTAAGCTCACACGAGTGACATCATTCTGACCTTTTTTGCCCTCCAAACCATTCTGTCGATGTTATATTTGTTTTTCACCGTTTGGCAGCCCTTATATATGGGTTCGGTCAGTGTAAACGTCCAAAATACCCTTCTCTCGTTCTATCTCTTGCTTCTTTCTCTCTGTCTAGTGGGGTCAAGCTGTCAGCGACCTAGCTCCACCTTCCTCCTCGCCACGCACCAGCCTTGCGCCCTGCCGGCGCCAGGGTGGAGCTCGCTCTCCCGCGCCCGCACCGCGGCGGAGCTCACTCACTCGCGCTCGCAGCGATCGGGTGAATCCCCCGCACGCGCGCCCACGGCGGCCGGGCAGAGCTCGCCTGCGCCCGCACCAGCGGCGGTAGGGACGGAGCTGCCCTCCACGCACAATCGTGGGCGGGGGGCGGAGCTCCCCCCTGCTGCTTGGCTGTGGGCGGGCGGAGCCACCACACGCCTGCGCCGGCGCAGATGGGGGCAGAGCTCCCCGTCGTGCACTAGCGGTGGCCGGGCGGAACTCGCCCGCCCCTGTGCCCGCGGTGGACGAGGCGGAGCTGCCCCCGCGCACGCGCCCGCGGTGGCCGGCGGAGCTCTCTTGCACCCGCGCCCGCGGAGGGCAGGGCAGAGCTTCCCCCCGCCCGCGGCGGCCGGGGCGGAGCTTGACACTCTTGCGCTGCGCCGTCGCGGTCTCGCGGATGCCACAAAGGCCGGGCTCGGGCTGCCTTACCGCCGCGCGCGCCTCCGCCTCCGCGAAGTACCTGGCCTACGTGCTCCTCAGGGCGCGGGCAAGCGCGTCCAGCACGTCGTGGTCGTGCTCCCGCATGCCGCGTGTGCGTCCGTTGCGCCACGCCGCCACCTCAGACTCCACGCGCAGCAGCACGCCGTTGAGCTCGCGGCACACGGCCACGTACAGGTGCACGACGAGGTAGTTGGTGGCGTCGGGTCCGTTGTAGCCGCCGTAGATGCCGACGAACATCCAGCCATGTTCCTCCGACACAACCACAACCGCACCTCCTCCTCCCCGGCCTTCGCGCGCGCCACTACACCGCTTGCTTTGCGCCGCGCCGCCGCTTATCGACATCCGGTCGTCCGCGTTGTTGCCGATCGCCACGGCGTGCTCCTTCTTCGCCGTCGGGGACACGACGACGCCATGCACGCACGAAGACCGACGCGACGGCCCTGCGGAGGCCGCCAAGGAGCGGGTTGGCCTTGCAAGACGCCTACCGCCGCCGATGACGTGTGGCGTCGAGGTCCGCGAGGATCTGCTCGTCGGTGCACGCGGGTGGCGTGACACCGATGACACGCCCGAGTTCGTGGCCGATGTCAACGTCGATGGCGAAGCGATACTGCTGCCGCCACCGTAGCTGTCCAGCGGGCCCGAGTACTGCCTCGACTGGAGCGTCCAGAACGAGGAGTTGGAGTTGTCGAACGACGACAAGCCGGAGAAGGACGCCCGGTCGCTTAGGAACAAGGAGCCGCCCACCGCGGACTAGTTCGACGGCAGCAGCACGCCGTGGATGCGCCCCTGGTGGACGGCACGGAGCTCCCTCGGCCCTTCATGTGCACATGAAAGAGAAGAGAAAGACAAAGAGAAAGTTTAGGTGGCTGACAAACGGACCTCACTATAGGGTAAAATGATCATTTTACCTGTCTGTTTGACACCATTAGATAGAAAAACGGACGGAATGATTTGGAGAGAAAAAAAAAGTTCAGAAGGGTGGTACTCAAACGTGTTTTAATGAATTTTTTTTATGGCTTGTGCGTCGTTATAAACTTTTTTTTAACGGTACACAGTTAAAAGCCTCGACTCTATTAACGAGCCCCTCCATCCCACCACCCGAAATTAAAATCCCCCGGAAATCAGAGACGCGAATCCCTCGCCCCAGGCCCCGAATCCTACCCGAAACCTCCGAGTTGGCTCGGCAATTCGATCCGCCTCACCGCCGCCGCCCGCCCGTCCGCCGGTCGGCCTTGACTGCTCCGTCGCACGCGGCGGTTCGCGGCGCGGAATCTACCTTGGGTCCGGAGATCCGGGGAAACCCTCGTTCCCGGGCGTTCCGGGCTCGAATCTTGCTGCGGACGGGCAATGTGAGCGCTCCCCATCGGAGGGGGACGATCTGCGGGGCGGTTGTTGGCCGGGTGAATCGTGCGGCGGTGTTGCGGGAATGGAGCACGTGATCGGAGGGAAGTTTAAGCTTGGGAAGAAGATCGGGAGCGGATCTTTCGGGGAGCTCTATCTCGGTACGCGCCTTGCCGGGTTCTTGATTGAATCTCTCACGCGTCTCTGCGGGTTCCTACGCGCCGCTGTTTTGTTTTGCTCGTCGTTCCGCGTTTGTTGCTGATGCGCTGATGTTTTTTTGGGCTGCAGGCGTCAACGTACAGAGCGGCGAGGAGGTGGCTATCAAGTTGGTATGAGATAATCTGATACTGTTCGTGGACCATTTTTCTTTCTCTCGTGGAAGTATTTGCGTGACATTCGGCATTAGTTTGTTCCATATGCATACATATCTTTGGTCAACCATTGCTAGAAACGGTTTCGTGATGAATTCTTGTGTAGATTGCGGTGTGACATAATTATGAAAATGAATGGTGTTCTGCATGTAATTGCTTTTCAAAAGATTGGTATGGTTCCGAGTTATATTTTTACATGACTAATAACAAGACTTTCAAACCTTTTCTTGGTTGTCCATGCGAATTGACCTGTGGATCCAGTTCCAATCATGGTTCTGTTACCTTTCATTAGTCTGGCTGTATAACAGCACCTATTTTTTTTTTTAAAAGAAAGTAACAAGTCATATTTTCATAGTGCTTGAGCATATGAAAAAAGCACTTGCAGAAAGTTGATTTCTGGTGGTCCATGATAAGATAATTTTAAATTTTACATTTTATCCTGTATATATATGACACAGATTATGGATTGACTGTAGCAAAAAAAAAAGAAGTGGGGGTGTATTTAGGTTATATTGTTCTATATGTAATGGCTTTCTAGCCTGAACATATTGAGACAGAATGAGGTTAGCCATTTTCAAGCACTATGATCTGTCAGTCTTAGTCTTGGTAGTCCCCCTTTCAGCCTCAAGAGTCAAGACATGCTACCTGACCGTTTTCCTTCATCTCATGTTTACCAGGAATCTGTAAAATCAAGGCATCCTCAGCTTCATTATGAGTCGAAACTATACATGCTTCTCCAAGGGGGAAGTAAGTACTAATACAAGGACACAGGTCGCTTGCTTCATATGCTTTCACTGATTTAATATATTTCTTTTCCAAACTTCAGCTGGAATTCCTCATTTGAAATGGTTTGGAGTGGAGGGGGAGTACAATGTCATGGTCATTGATCTTCTTGGTCCAAGTCTTGAAGACTTGTTCAACTACTGCAACAGAAAGTTCTCTCTTAAAACAGTACTTACGCTAGCTGATCAGATGGTTAGTTTCTTCTACAGGTCATGTCATTTTATTTTTTTAGCTTTTGTTACCTGTATGGCAACATACATGTAAAATTGATGGCCCTATTTCTCAATTCTTGAATTTTTATTTGGTGGATGCTTGCCAAGTGATTGTCTTCCTGTTGTTTTCATACAGATAGCCAGGGTAGAGTATATGCACACGAGGGGGTTTCTTCATCGTGATATCAAGCCAGACAACTTCCTCATGGGCTTAGGCCGTAAAGCAAGTCAGGTTGGTGCCACTCATGAGCATGTTACTGATAAAACTTTTGTTGTGGCTGGTTTGAGTCTTCCAATCATAGCTCACAAGTCAGGCTAAAATTCAAGCACAATGGCCATAGACTGTTCTCTGCATAGCTGCCGTCACAGGCAGGGTTTTAACTTTTAAATCTCCTGCTATAGCTCAAGTTATCTCAGGATATAGCTGTTTGAGGAGGGTCTAGTTATTTGCTCCCATGTACAATTTGGCCGCTATAGCCTGATTTTTAGCCGGCCATTAGCTGTTTGAGACAGATCGCTAAATGCCAGGGCCTGCTATTTATAACACTCAGGACACTTCTGGATCATGATGACTGAATTAACCCAGACTCCTTTATTTTTTTTGTTACAATATTTACTGCAACTGAGAAGCTACTTCAATTGATGTCTATGGATTTGAATGGCTGTAGCTTGAATATGTTTTATTTAATATATGATATTTATAACATATCAAGTCTTTGGAAGGACTAAAAGTTCTTATTGTGCATTGAAGGTTACTCTAGCTATGCTAACTTTTATGAGATAATATCTGCATCCAAACTTCTGTCATGTATATTTCGTGCAACTACTACCAAGAAACAAGTGTGTTTTTTAAGTGATTGATATAACATGTGTTTACTGCCAGCAAAGGTATAACTGCTTAAAAATTGAGTGCACTCTTTACAGGTTTATGTCATTGACTATGGCCTTGCAAAGAAGTATCGAGACCTCCAAACTCATAGACACATACCATACAGGTAATCAGAAACGGTTCTTATGATTGCTATGAAGCAATTTCTCTTTATACCTGGAATGTTTCTAGCACGGTACTTGTCATTCACTATGAATGCTATTTGCTTAGTATCAGACACTAGTTTCTGAACCCTGTAGAAGCAACCTTTGGGATATCCTCACTTACTATATTCTGTTTGACAGATGTATTGTTTTGCCTATTTTGGTTAACAGCTTGGTTGGCATGGCTGTTTAATAATTAATTGAACCTTGCTTAAGAATTTGTGTTACTGTGCTTGGAACATAACATGGGTTGATATCTGCTACTGAATGTATTGGTTCCAAAAGCTATATATTTCTACTGCCATTCCATGCAATCTACCTGAAATCTTAACTGGGTCGGTTCAATAAAATCTGAACGGTTTTAAACTGAGTTTTCTTTTCTAGATTTAAACTCCATGCGATGTGACCCCCCCTCTCTCTCTTTCTCCCAACGCCCTCCCGAAAAAAGGAATATGTACAACCATTTTTAAAGATCGTCGTTGCAATTTTAAGAAAGAACTGGGACACTGAGTAACATTACATATTATTAGTACCATACTAGCATTGTAAGAAAAGGACTAATTATCATAGGTGATTACTTATTTCATTATATTAAAAACAGTTTTTGGAAAAGAGTTTTTTTTTGTTCTGTTACAGCTTGGGATACAGGTTCGAAGCTTATATGTTTTTCTTTGTTGTTACTGTAGGGAGAACAAAAACCTCACAGGTACAGCACGATATGCTAGTGTAAACACCCATCTTGGAGTAGGTGAGTATCACTACCTGTTAGGCTGTTACTAAGAGGTGGCACTAAGAGGTTAAAATAAAGTTTAGTAATACAGAACAGCAAGTTTTAGGTTTTTATGGGTACAGTACAATCTAGTACAACAACAGAGCCTTTTAGTCCCAACCAAAGTTGGGGTAGGCTAGATATGAGACCCAACGAAAAGGGAAACTTATAAAATATAAAAAGGCATTAACACTCCCGGTCACATAATTTAAGGCATATGTTTCATTGGGACGAACCTTTGACCAACAATTATTATATTAGTTTTTTTTCTCGAACACCTGCATATCATTGTATTAATAGAAGGATAAACAATTATTATATTAGTACAATAAATTTTTAAAAGTGATGTTATTAGATCCTTATACTCAAAAGGTTACTTGTGGTTACGATTTTTTTATTACATAATGACATATTAATAGAGTAATTGATGGTCAAAAGCCTTGTTCTAACAAAAGAAAAAATGCCTTATATTATGGACGGTGGTAGTAATAGAGGTGTACCCAGTGCTAGCTCCCACACAAGGTGATCTGCAAGGAGGCTGATTCGATACCAAAACCCCCAGGCCACAAGTGGAGAGATCCTACCATTGTGCCAGCCCACTGCCTACACTTCTGAAACCTAAAATTTGTGCCTTGCCATGCCAATCAACAGAAAATGTCACTCGTCCAAAAAATTCTCACCAGCAGTCCAATATACATTTGTTTCATAGGCTTTGGTTAACTATATCCTGCTGTGTGTTATTTTGACTGTTGGTGTGTGTTATTGCTGCTTTTCTCTACAGAACAAAGCAGGAGAGACGACTTAGAGTCTCTTGGTTACGTGCTGATGTATTTCTTAAGAGGAAGGTGAGAATCATTTGCTTTCTAGTGTTCAAATTACCTTTTTGCTTGTAACAATATATATTCCTGAATGCTTGTCTTCTCAGCCTTCCCTGGCAAGGCCTGAAAGCTGGAACGAAAAAACAAAAGTATGACAAAATTAGTGAGAAGAAAATGCTAACCTCAATTGAGGTAATTGAATTGTTCCCACAGATACAATTCTTGTGGCAAGCTTCATTTATCGTTTGATTGGATTGTAATAGAATCTTGTTGATCATGTTTTCATTATTTGTGCAGGCGCTTTGTAAATCTTATCCATCAGAATTCATTACATACTTCCATTATTGCCGCTCTTTGCGATTTGAAGATAAGCCAGACTATAGCTATTTGAAGAAAATCTTCCGGGATTTATTCATCCGTGAAGGTATCTGGGAATTCATTACATACTAACGTTATTAACTGGTAATTCTTAACTTTCTTGCTCATCTTCATATTGCTCACATGGTTTGTATTGGATACTTGCAGGTTATCAGCCTGATTATGTATTTGATTGGACTGTATCAAGGCAAGCTGCGGATGATAACAGATTGCGAGTACGTCTGTTCCTTTTCTGAAAATTACCAGTATTGCTACTTGCTAGTTTCACTGTGCTGAATTTGTACCATTTTTCACCCAATGCCAGCTGAGCGGGAAGACAGGTGGGTTGGTGGGACCATCTGTGGATCGGGCTGAACGAGCTGCAGGTTTGTCAGTTGTGTGCACTTTGAAATCTTACATTTAGGAAATAAGCAAGGTGGAAACCTGGAGGCTCAAATTTTCAGATTCTCTCTTTAACAGCAAGACATGATGTTCCGGAAAGATTCACTGGTCCAGCCGATGCATTTGCTAGAAGAACCGGCTCTGGTTCTGGTCATTATGGAGAACACACAAAGCACAGAACTCTGTTGGATTCCCTTATGGCATCCAAGATGGTGAGAACTCTATCAAATTCTGTTGATATTTATTCTGGATACTTGGTGAATTGGTGTTGTCATGCAAACCTCATGTTTAGGCGATAAATGAGACCGTGTATTTCTTGTGTTTGCTGGAAGAGTCTGGTGGCTTGTACTCATGAATGTAGGCAGGAGAGGGCCAAATATTTTTTTTTGGGTTGGGAAAATAATACCTCATATATTTTATTTTGGTGCCTTAAAAATATTGATGTAGCTCTAGTCATCAGATAATGTGAGTGATTGAAGTAATTGAAATTCTTTGTTCTTCTGTCTTTAGTCATGTTCAGGGCCATGAATTTATTTACAATCCCATGGTGATGACCAAAGAGCTCATTGCACAACATTTTTCACCATGTATTCCAGGCTGTTGATTCAGATAAAAGAAGGCATTCATCATCTCGGAATGGAAGCACATCAAGGAAGGCTCTTCTGTCAAGCAGCAGGGGTTCTGGAGATCCCAGTGACCCAAATCGCAGTAGCCACCTAGTCCCGACCACCACCACCAGCAGCCGTCCATCAACTAATCAAAGGCTTCACCAGTCAACTGGACTTGAGGGCAGGACCTCATCATTTCCAAAACCTGGAAGAATCGGCCATGATGATCCTACTATGAGGAGTTTTGAGCGCCTTACTATTAGCGCAGAGAGGAGGAAATGAATCTTTGGAAGAGCATAGGATCTGAGCTGCTCCCACTAGCGAGTATACTGATTCACAGACTATCCATTCGGTTCCAGATGATGCTTACTGATGAGCAAGTTAAATGATTCTGTGCTGTGCATGATGCTGAGCTCTGCACATAGCGGTGTTCGTCGAATCTTGGCACAGATGATTTGAGTCCTGAACATTCGTTTAACTCTTCATCCAAACAGTTAGCGAAGCATTTTACACCCGGTTATGAGGGACCGGGAATCGGCTGCAATGTTTAAGCCGTGGTGGTTGAAAAAGATGTCTACTCTAATACTTATATAATGACAATGAAATAAAAAAATAGCTCGCTAGGTAGCATTACCTTTGATGTAAGTATTTGTGAAAGCAGGATTTTCATCTGTGCGGTGGAGCATTAGACATAAGGCCCTGTTTAATCAGTTAGCTAGTAATACGTAGTAGTTAGCTAGCTCATAGCTAATATAAGGTCTTGTTTAGACCCAAGGAGATAGTAGTTAGCTGGTAATAATGAGTTCCTTAGATCCAAAAAGGTCAAGCTAATAGTTTAGCTAATACTCAACTAACAACTTGAACCAAAATAGCTAATAACAGCTAATAATAGTTGTAACCTATTAGCTAGCTAATGATTAGCCGCTAATGGATCCAAACAGGCCTTTAGTTAGCTAATTATTAGCTTCTACTAGGGTCTGTTTGGATACTAGGGCTAATTGCTAGCTAGCTAAAAATTACCTGGTCAACTAGTTAGTCAACTAGGTAGCTAACTATAGCTAATTTGAGCTAACTTTTAACCTCAACTAAACAGGCCTTTAGGTGGTTTAGTCTAACTAGTGAAATAGTTGTTATTGCCTTCGTGCTAACAAGAATGTAATTCTAGATTTAGAGCAAAGCCAAACTTTTCTAAGTTTGACCATTTTATTGAAAATATCACTAATATTTATGTTGCCAAATAGATTTACTATAAATATATATATTTCATAACGAATCTAATGATATTTATTTAGTATTATATTAGTAATTTTTTTATAAATATTTGATCAAGTTTAAAATTGGTTAACTCATCGAGAATTGTATCTTTTTTGGACAGAGGAGTAGTTGGTATTAGCAAATAATTAGCTAGATCTGTTTGAATCTAAAGGATATTAGCAACTAACTATTAGTTCTATGGATCCAAACAGGGCTAAGCTTCTATAGATCCAAACAGGGCAAAGATCACCTTTCATATTTGCATCTCCAAACAATTCTTAAAACAACTCCCAAATTTATTTATTTTTACAAAAAGGAAAAACGTCTTAAAACAACTCTTTTTTGTCAACAAAAATAAATCTGACAGTTTTGTAAAACATCTCCCCCTCAACACCAACCAAGATATGCGTGTTTTCACTGGGGTATTCAAGTTGTCTGCCCGGGTGTCCCCTGCCATTTAGTTTTCGTGTGTACCTTTTTTTTTCTCTTTCTAGTTTTATGGAAAACTATTGTAGAAAGAAAAAAAAATCCAACTCTATATTTATTTTATTTACTTGGATTTTTAAGGAGCTTTACTCTGAGCTTTGATCTTGAAAAACTTATAGAGCGTTTTTTTGTCACCAGCTAAATATTGGGAAAACTAACAGTAAATTTGGACCAGCACTCGTCTTTTGGGATGTTTCTTCCTCTCGAACTCTGAAGGGTAGTTCCTCCTCTGGGCTCGCCCCCGCCTCATCCTCCCCAGTCCATTTGATCCGCAGTACCTTTTGTTCATTTGCAGAATTCTTCTCGCCGTGCTCACCTCTGTCGTGTCTCTCTACCTCTGTCTGATCATGATCACACACCACACTAACCTGGATTTGTCCGCAGTCACCATAATGCACTTACCAGCATCGCAACTCGCAAACGCATGGTTCACTGTGCTGCAGATAGAGTTGCACTCCATTCACACCATACATTTATGATAATAAAAAATTATCAACAGACAATTCTTTACTGCTCATTAGTTGTCGGTAGCATATGATTCCGTCATTAACATCACCATGTTCACATACACAAACAAGGAAAACAAAACCAGAGCCACAATTCACAAATGCAATCTCACAAATATGTCAGCAAAAGACAGAATGGAGATCTTGCTTACAAAGTAGCGTTTTCACATCCCAAACTGTCAGCGACACCAAAATTAGTGATCATTAGGCATGTCAAAGCATGCCAAGAATTAGTCTCGGTTACACAATAAATCCATTAAAGAGTATATACATTCACATGAAAACACCTAAGAAGGCTAGCAGCAAGCCATATATGTCAGTATACCACCGAACCAATCTATTATTCCTTAAGAAAACTTAGCACTGCTATTCAGTTATATCAAAGCAGAGTTTTGCTTCATCCCAGGGGCCATTGATCTCAAACTTGTATTCCTGAATCCTTATAAGCCAGTAAGGGCAAACGATTGAGACAAAAACAAGAAGTGCCAATAGCACAGTGAAGAACATTCGATGCAACTGGTATGTGACACTCAGGGCCACAGCCATCAGCGCAAAGGAGAATAGCAGATGAAGCCTAAAGTGGTATTTCTTCACACAGAAAGTAATGAGGGGTGCAAAGAGGAAGACTTGCAAGGAGAACAACATGATTGCAAAGACGTGCAGCCTTGATGGAAGCCGCGAAGCCACAAGGACAGAGGCTACTATCGATGCATTCAAGGAGATGTTGCTAGTTAACTTTGGATTGTTCAATGCACCTGGAGGCCTTATCGTTGAACCAGAATAATCATGCAAGAAAAGATGAACCAGCAGAAGAGATACAGCAAGGGCCCATATTGAATCTGAACTGATGGACCTTGTGAGGGTATGATAAATTGGTGCAAGAATATAAAGACCACTTATGAAGAATGATATATTGAGGACATACTTTGTCAGAAGCTTCAATGAGAATGGACAAGTTGTGAGCAAGAGGACCGAGAACCCAACAAGGAGAAGACCAACATCCAGTTTGAGAAGAGTAGATTCATCAATGTTCAAGTTCAGCGTTAGGATCCATGTAGAAACCACAAGAGAGACGATGCAGAGATACTGCGATATGGAGACAGAGTCGATCATCACTTTCAGAAGGTCCCTCTTGACGACATTGGCATTCATAACCATCTCCTCGAGGAAGGACTCGTCGGTGTAGTTATCATCATATCCTGACTGCCTTCCCCCATAGGCAACTTTTCTCCACATTGGTTGTAACCTGATTCGGTTTCCATCGCTGCTCTTCATAATGAATTGCTGTGCTTTCTTCCCCAGAAGAAACAGGCGCTGAGCCGTGTGGATGTCAAGAACTGCTAGTCCTAAAGAGGTCTTCTGTCCTCAAACTTGCATTTCTCCAGCATCAATTCTCCACTGCTAAAAAAATGCACACTTATTTACTCCAATTTTCCAACAGAGAACGAAATTTCATAGTCAAGTATCAAAGGCACCACACTCAAAAACAGTCGCATATTATCAGGCATGGATAAAGTACATCCAGTAAATTGAGGCATTGGGTTTCAGTTGACTATTAACAATTTCTTTGTTTGTTTTTAAAAAATAAACTGCTACAACATTACATTTTATTTGATAGCTCATTCACAGCAAAGAAAGGAAGGACCAGCACAAATTAACTCTCAGCAATCAAACCATCTAAATAAAGCTAGGGCTTCTTCACCAAGGAGAGAAGGCATCAGTTCAACTCCAGGTGGATCTCCACCGGTGGCGGACCCAGAAATGGATCAAGTGGGGGGCTAAATAATTGGAGGCTACAAAGACAAACCTTGCTAACAGTAAACCAAATGATTGAACCGATGTAACAAGGATCACAAAAAAAAACAATATCAATTCAAAATGCTCAAGCAACATCTAAAACAACTTTGTGGGTAGAAAAATAACAAATAAAGATTTGTTAACCAAAAGGTCATCCATATTAAGCTCAATCTGTAGTCCTTTTTGCTCAACCCAGCTCTCTTTAGTTTCAGAACTATTCTTCGGCACATCTTTCTCACTAAACTACACCATCCTATCGTTGCCTCCTACGGAATGCAATGCAACTATAATCAATTATTATAAAAACTAACAATCAACAATCAAAATTGGATGGATTTAATTTACTCTTGAGTAAATTCCCTCAATGCCACTGGATATTTCATGGCTTCCCTCAAAGCCATTTGAATTGTTCATTTCGGTTCCCTCACTGCCATTCCCGTCTCCCATCGAGTGTCAATCAAGTTGCTGTTATGTTCACACTGAAATGAAGATTTTGCCCCTCTATAGTCACGGTAAATTTTTGCCGTATTTCCTTACATGCCATTGCACAGAATTTTTGCCCATTTTTACTTACATGCAATTGCAGTATAAGATATATAGATGGCACAAAAAATTATAATAAAATGCACATCTGGGTTCACACTGAGAATATACATGGACAAAAAATAAAATAAAAATACACATCTAGAAAAATGATCCACGTTCAGTTTCAAAGCTAATAACACGGATTCAGAATAGTGGAAATTTCAACGCAGGAACTACCAAATTTGATACCTTTAGAACGTCAAGACAATCAAATTATATATGATGCAACCATGTCACGCATGATTTCCACCGAGAGAAAGGAACACGGATAAACTACGTTTCCAAGAAAGGGGATTTGTTTTGGCAAACAAAGAACATGTAACAGTATGGAAGGAACGCCTATGAAGACATTAGGCAACAAGGATTAAACAGCATGGAAGGAAAGCCTATGAAGACATTGGGCACCAAGGATTAAACAGCATGGAAGGAACGCTTAGGGACTTATGAAGACATCACTCTGCAGAAAATCTGATTGAGATTTCGAACTGGAAACTAAGAGCAGAAGCTCGAATTGGTTTCAGGAACATTAAGTAAAAAAGATCCATGGTTTTTACCTTAGCATTCTATAAAAGACAGCCTGTAAGCCCGCTCGGCCGACGCCACCTCTCCCGCGAATGCCGACGCCTGGTGCGGGCGTGACGCCCTCGGCCGAAGCCCGCCCGGCCGCTGCCGCCTCTCCCGCGAAGGACGACGCCCTGGCGCGTTGCTGCAGCGGCGAGGCCACCCAGGCGCGGGCGCTAGGCCCACGGCCGAAGTCCGCCCGGCCGCCTCCGCGTCTCCCGCAAAGGCCGATGCCTTGCGCGTTGCTGCCACGGCGAGCCCGCCCAGGCGGGCGCGAGGCCCACGGCCGAAGCCCGCCCGGCCGACGCCGCTGCCGCCGCGCCCGCCACAGCCGGAGCCGAGCCGACGCCGCCGGCGGCTCACCCGATAGTGTAAGATGTTTGGATCTGGACGGCTGGGTTGGTTCTCTCTACCGAGAACTGGTTTCTATGTGGGCCCATCGAGGCACAGAGCTGTTGTAGGGGCTTTAGAACACAGGATTAAAGAAATATAGGAATATGAAAAACATACGAACTTTATATGAAAGCAATTGCAAAACATACAGTAGAATCAAAAACAAAGAAAAACTATTTAGGTAAGCGGTTGAATGGCTATAGAAAATTCATAGGAATAGGAATGTATAATTTCTCATGATGTGATGTGATGCTTCTAGCTCTTCATTTCTGCGTGATACCTGTGATTTAGCTCTTGATTTGCCTTGTTCCTACATAAGCCATACAAACAAAGAAGTAGGAGATGAATTCCTATGGTTCAATCCCGTGAGCCAAGGGTGCTACAGTGTTGAATCCTATAGGAAAGAGAATTCTCTATTTTTCTCATGAAACTCCCATGAACCAGAGGAGTCATAAATGTTGCATTCGATGCTCTTTCCCCGTGCGGTCAATACCGCTGCCTGATAGACAAATACGTGGGCAGCTAGAACATAAATGCACGATTGTTATAACATTATAAATTATCTTGTAAAACAGACCATTGTTGCAATCATCGGTATGTTAGCTGATTAGTTTTTATGCTGATAAGTCGGTGATAGTGATTTGTTGTGAGATTGTTGGGTTGGTGCAGAAAGTAACCAACACGTAAATATTTGTAGTTTTGTTGTATGTTGTGATCGGAGATGGCCTAACACTCAATGACACAGGGTTTATACTGGTTCAGGCAACATGCCATACGTCCAGTTTGAGTCGGTCGATGACTTTATTCCTGAGCCAGGTGCTCGAAGTTTGTTGTGGAGTACAAACGGAAGAGAGAAAGATTGGGATACAAGAGGTTCGGTTGGACTCTGATCTGAAGGGCCGAGAATGACGGGAGCTCCGCTATGTGTTGAGTGTTCGAGCGTATGCTCGAGGTTTGAACCTGGTGATTTTGTTGTGGCATGCGTTGTTCGAGTTGTTGTGTACTGATCCTTTTCTTTGGGAGAGAGCGCATCCCCTTTATAGATGAAGGGAATGGCCTTACAGAGAGAGAGTGTGTACGTATGCTAAGTCTTATTGCCCACACCGTCGGATATAAGATGATGATAGACGCCTACAATACTGTTAATGTCAGATGCACGTGGGAGGTTGCGTCGTCTTCTTTTGGTATGGCAGACGTCGGTGCCTGCCATACTGTTGATGCCCGGAGGCATGTAGGGGGTTTTACCATATTCGCCTGGCATGGTAAATGCCGGCGCCCGCAATACTATTGATGCCCAGAGGTATGTGGGGGAGCCTTACCGTGTTTGTCTGGTATGAGAGTTGATGGCGCTCACAACACAGTAGGGAAGATGTCGGCGCCCACAACACTGCTTGGGTCCTGACATGTCAGGAAGGTTGCAGGGCACCCTTCTGACATGCCTTGTTGGTACTGCCCTACAGGTGTACAGGGTACGGTCCTTGGTATTGCGGTTGACTTGAGTGCCCTACCTTACTTTCTCCGTCCATTTCCTAGTCCTCACCGAGCGGGCGTCCCCGGTCGGTTGGTCCCAATCATCTCTGATTGCGCCAGTCGGAGAAGAGCAGTAAGCAGTGATTCAGCGCATCCCCGGTCGGAGACGCAGGTCAGAGTCGAAAGTAGTGTTTGGCCAGGCCGTTCGGAGTCGGAAGCGAGCGTTGTTTCCTCCTTAGTGAGGCCTTCTGATGGTCAGAGATTGGATTGTCCTTCTAACCTATCGTTTAGGTTTTTGGGCCGGCCCATGAGTTGCGCGTCGTTCGCAACGTTGTCTGCTGGGCTGAGCCTTTGTTGGAAAGTCGGTCCATGAGGGACCTCGGGTTTATAAAGGCCCCGGGCGAGTCGGGTAGAATCGTCTGGAGGATTTTTGTCTTGACGGCGGGTGCGCATGAGCGCACCTATGGGTGTAGCCCCCGAGCCCCGAGTGATTCGAGAAGAATCGTCCGAGGGATTTTTCGTGTTTGCCAGCGGGGGAAGTTTGTGTTTCGTCAGCGGGTGCGCGCGAGCACACCCGCGGGTGAAGCCCTTGAGCCCCCGGACGATTCGGGCGGAATCGGCTGGGGGTTTTGTTAGCGAACGTGAGTGTGTGCTCTATAGTGGGCGTAGTCTCTACTGACCCATCGTTTCCGGGAGCGTGGTCCCAGGTGTTTGGTCGTGGCCGAGGGATCGGGCGAGATGGAGTCATAGATCTAGACGTCGGGCGCGACGAGGGATCAGGCGAGACGGAGTCGCGAATCTAGGCGTTGGACGCGACGAGGGATCAGGTGAGTCAGAGTCGTGGATCCTAGGCGTCAGGGTGCGACGAGGGATCGGACGAGTCAGAGTCGCAGATCCAGGCGCAGCCGAGGCGTTTGGGTGTCTTGAGCCCATAAGCCCCTGTTGGGTTTTGGTAGAGGTCGGTTGAGTTTTGTGCGTTACTCCGTCCATGGTTTCTCGCAACCGGAGGGGCTGAGCTAACATCGATTGCCTCGATGGCTCGAGTGACGCGCTCGGTGAGCTCGCTAACGGGTATGATCGAGTGAAGTCCGGGTCCATCTTTCGTGACGGGGTCGGCATAGCCCTCATGTGGCACTCCACTGCTCCTTAACCTGCAACCCGATAGATGTCTGGGTCATTTCCAGAGACCGACCCGGGTGGCCCACTGGCCTTCCCTCGATGGAGATTCTATGGGTTTGGCGGGAGGTTAGGATCGAACGAGAAGGTTGAGATGACCCTGTCTGCTTCGGGGTAGACTGGGCGAGGGACCGCTTAGGGTTCATCTGTGTTTTCTCCCTCTGGCTCTATTTGACGCGAGGCGGCCTCGAGCCCTTCGTGGACCGGCCTTCGAACCCCGGTCGGTCGTTGCTCATGTTGAATGAGGCAACTGCCACTTCATGATGCAACATGAAGCGTTGTGATGCATTTAA